CTTTAGTGGAATCAATGTAGATATTGTAGGAAAACACAGAATATACAGCATGAAACAGATCATTTAGGTTAACTAGTGTATACACAAAATTATGCACCACAAGAGGCTTATTTCAACCTTTCAAATATGTCTATCCCAAGGGTCCTGTGGTACAGTAGTAGCATACCCACCTCTGAAATAGAGGTCTAGATTAGGGTTTCATCTGCCCAGAGGTGTGTCATAACAACATGACCAAGCAGATTGATCAAAATAGATATTTTTCCTTCACTTTTTCTCACTAACTTGTCTAACTTCCTTTCTGAATGTGTGCCAGCTGTGGCTAAGCTGGTGTACTTTTGCCTTTGAGCCTCAAGGTTCTCGGTTCAAGTCCTACTCCAGGTTTTGAGGACAAAAACCAAGCCTCGAATTCTTCACTAGGTTGGAAAAAAAAGCCCCATGATGCTATTTCCAAGAAGAGCAGAGGGGTTATCCCCTGTATCTGGTGCAATCTTTAGCTCTGAAAGTTACAGAAACAGCTTACCTGCAAATTTTCACTTGGTGAGAACTTGGCAAAAAAAATTGTTTCCCATATTGCAACAATCACTGTACTTCAGAATTATTTCATCAACTGCAAAGTGCTTTGAGATGTCGAGTGTTTCTGAAAGGTATTATATGAATGCACATCTTATGTACCTGATGGGATACAAGCTAGGATATTAAAGGAAGTACCTACAGAGATAGTGGATGCACTGGTAATAAAGTCCCAGAGAATTGGAAAACTGCCAATGTAACATCGTTAGTCAAAAAGGGAAGGAGACAAAAAGTAGGTAACAATAAAACAGTTACCGTAATGTCTGTTATTAGGAAAATGTTAGAGGCTACAGGCAGTCCCCATGTTGCAAATGAGTTCTGTTCTGGAGTCCATTCGCAAGTCAATTTGTGCGCAAATCAGAATACATCACAGCATAATATAAAGGAGCTGTTTCTAAATGCAGGAATTGCCAGTAAGTCATATCTTTAAAAGTACACCCCTGCACGAGATCACATAGCAGTCAGATGTGTATAAATCAAGGACCCTCTGTATTATAAAGGATATAATAGAGGAGCGTTTAGAAATACATAATATGATCAAGCAGAGTCATCATGGCTTCACGAAGGAGAAACCATGCCTGACAAATTTACTGAATTCTTTGAGGAAGTACAATCACTAACTTGATTGAGTTTTTTGAGGATGTGGCAAAGAAGACTGATGAAGGCAGAGAGGTAGACATTGTTGATATGCACTTCAAGGCATTCAACAAGATTCCACATGGTAGACTGGTTAGCGAGGTTAGATCACACAGAATCTGGGGGAAGATAGGAGACCAGGTGGTTGTGGAGGATTATTTTTTGGACTAGAGATCTGTGACCAGTGGTGGTGCAAGGATCAGTGCTGGGTCCACTGCTTTTTGTCATTTGTACAAATAATTTGGATGTGAATATAGGAAGTATGGTTTGTAAGTTTGCAGATGACAACAAAATTGGTGGTGTAGTTGACAGAGAAGATGAATCTCAGAGTACATGAGGACCTTGATCAGATGGGCCGGTGGGCCGAGGAGTGGCAGTGGAGTTTAATTTAGATAAATGTGAGGTGTTGCATTTTGGTAAGGCAAATCAGGACAGGACTATACAATTAATGATAGGGCCCTGGAGAGTGTTGCCGATCAAAAGGGCTAGGGGTACTGGTGCATGGTTCCTTGAAAGTGGAGTCACAAGTAGACAGGTGGTGAAGAAGGCTTTTGGCATACTTGCACTCTTTGGTCAGTGCATTGAATGTAGCAGTTAGGATGTCACGTTGCGGCTGCACAGGATATTAGTTAGGCTGCTTTTAGAATACCCATTTGATTCTGGTTTCCCTGATTTAGGAAAGATGATGTTAAACATGAAAGGGTTCAGAAAAGATTTACAAGGATGTTGCCAGGATTGGAGGGTTTGAGCTATAGTGAGACGTTGAATAGGCTGAGACTTGTTTCCCTGGAGCATTGGAGGGTGAGGGTTGACCTTTACAGAGGTTTGTAAAATCATGAGGGGCGTGGATAGGATGAATAGCCTAGGTTCTTTCCCCAGGGTAGGGAAGTCCAAAACTGGAGGACAAAGGTTTAGGGTGAGAGGGGAAAGATTTAAAAGGGGCCTGAGGGACAATGTTTAAGTGCAGAGGGTGGTGTGTGTATTAAATGAGGTGCCAGAGGAAGTTGTGGAGGCAGGTACAGTTACAACATTTAAAAGGCATATGGATGAGTACATGAATAGGCCGGGTTTAGAAGGATATGGGCCAAATGCTGGCAAATGGGACAAGCTCAATTTAGGATATCTGGTCAGCACAGATGAGTTGGAATGGAGTGTCTATTTCAGTGTTATATGATTCTGACTAAATACAAGCGGGATAAAAAAAGGGGAGGCAGTGGATGTAATATGTTTGAATATTCAAAAGATACCACACATTAGGCTTTTTAATAAAATACAAGCCCTTGGTGTTGGAGGCATTATATTAGATGATTAGAGGATTGAATAACTAATAGAAGATAGAAAGTTGGGAAAAGGGCTGCATTTTCAGGCTCGTAACCTGTAACTAGTGATGTGCCACAGGGCTGTTTGGACTCATTAATTATTTACAATATGTATTAATAACTTGGATGAGGAAAGTGAATGTACTATAGTCAAGTTTGTGATTGACACGAAAATAGATGGAAAGGCAAGTGGTGAGGATGTCAGTCTGTAGAGGGATAGAGACAAACAAAGCAAGTAGGCACTACATGGCAGATGGAAAATAATGTGGGAAACAGTGTTTCAGCTTCTGTTTTTCCAGGTGCAGTGAAGGTGATTCAGCTTGGGTTTTTTTTGGCGGATACTGTATTGAGTGTGAAGTTACGTAACATTGACCTCTTCTAACCTGAAAGAAATTGCTTGCCTAAGGTTTCGTAAAATAGTTTGATTTCTGTAGGGATTCTGAAGGGCGTTGTGGTTGCTGTCTTCCATGCTAAATTGTAAGCTACTGTTGATGCACTGTTGCTGCAAAGTATTTTAATTATAGGTTTTCCCCATACGTTTCCATGTTTTGACACCCATCCTAACAGTTGGTAAGGCACGTCTTCCTTTTGGGTGGTTTTGTGTTGAACCACAACTGGCACAACACAAGCTTTGTTTCCTGAATTTCTGTTGGCGTCAAGAGCATTACAAATTTGCAAAAATGAGTGTTTCAAGTCTGCTGTCAGATCAAAATGATTATTCATGCAAGGTTAATGCAGAGGCTAAGCAATGCACGTGTCTTAATTAACCAAAGTGGCATAGCCCATTCACTGAAACGAATATGAACTTTGCACGTTGTTTGTGATGGTGACATGCAGGTATCACACTTCTAAATCAAGGACAAAAAGGCTGTTGTAAAAGGGAAAGAAAATCTAAGAAAAATTAGGTGCCGCAAATTGATTTTGTACATCCTTATACAACAAGTTTGTTATTTTATTTGCTGCCCTTATTCTTTGTTTCACCGTCTTTGCATCAGATTGGGAATCAGATTAGAAATAGAAAGGCATGAGTGTCTGCAATTGCTACTGGTGTATCCGAACCATATCTTCCTCTTTTTAGAATGTTAGAGCAGTAATGATGAGTTTGAATTTCCCATAAATGTTATAATTTGGGCAAATTTAGGATAACTTCATAGAGAAGTTGTGCACTGTTGTCTCCTGTAAGATGATCTTAGTACAGCTCATGTTGTTTAAAATTCTGATTTCTAAAATGAAAGTTTGACCAGTTAGAACTACTTTGACTGCATAATTACCAATTGCTTTTACCCTTCATTTCTAATTTAAACAAAAGGTGAATATTTTATCTTAAAACTGACTTTCAGTTATAATTGTTGCAACTTTGAAATTCAAAACAGCAGTCCAAAATAATGGATTAACATCTTTTTTGGAAAACTTTCCCTGCAAGGTTTGATTCTTGCAGCTGTATTGATACTGCTTGGAAACATATGGACCTGAATTATTTGATTTACTGCGTTATGTATATAAAATCTCTGTCTGCCATCTGACCGTAAACGTTGCAAGTCTGGTACTTCATCTGCGGGAGCATATGTATTAGACTGAGAGAATTACTGTTACCACAAGAACCTGCTCTGGAATTTTGCAGTTGCACTTCATCACAGAAATGCTGTATCTTTCTATTTTGTGTTTTTAAATTTGTTTATACTGGGTATTAAGAAAGAAGATGTCACCAAACTTGTGGGAAAGCGCATACTTTGACAAGGTTGGTTTGCTGTTGCTAAAATGTCAGCATTGTTTTATTATTCATTTTCTAATTGGAGAATAAATTTTCAAGCTTTGATATTATGCATCTCATTACTGCTGTGTTAAATCTATAATTTTGTAGGTGGAAGGGCTAGAAGTCCGAATCCAGGTTGTGCATCGTTAAATCTACTGCATTGAAGAACAGGGCCTGAGACTTGTAAGTTGCTAAACCATGTGATAAGTGACTGTCTTCTAAATATGAACTGCCATATTTCCACACGCAAGATCAAATTATACTTATGAACATCTAATGCATTAAACCATGCTAATTCACACTTTGTTTATAGAGATATATTGAGCTGTTGTCTGGATAAAGTTTTGAAGACAATTTGAACCACCTCCCAGGCAAAATAAGTTATAGGTACTGAGGAATGTAAATGAGAATATTGTTATCATGCAGGTTTTTCTTGTATAACAAGATTTTCCTGACAAACCCAGACTCCTTTGCCATTGAGACATATATAAAAGGCAACATAGAAAATGATTTTGGAAGCTGATCAACTGTAGTTGGAAATATTGAGCTGTCATAGAAGTTGTCAGAATTTTACTTTTGGAATTTAAAATTTAGGTGTGATTGTCTTTCTGCGACCATTCATTGCTAATGGAACAGTAGTGTTTAGCCCGTGCTGTCTTGCATTTCATGGGGGCTCATGGGTAAATTCAGTGGTTTTTCAGATAGAATGTTAGCTGAATAGCTTTCTTTTTGGTCAGTACGATATATTGTAATATGCCAGAAGTATGTTTGATTTTGCAGATGCCAGTTACTGACTGAGCTGCAGGGATAGCCAGATATCAAATTAAACAGGAAGCAATAGCATAGTGGTAAGGTTGCAAGACAAATGACCCAGAACCCCAAGCTAATATTTTTGAATCCCAGCATGGCAAATGCTATTTGAATTCACTAAAAATTGGGAATAAAAAATGTTAGCCTCATGACAACCATGTAACCACTGTTGACTGTTGTAAAAAACAAATGCACACCTGGTTCACTAATGTCCTTTTGGGGAAGGAAATCTGCCATCCTTGCCTGGTCTGCCCTACATTGGAATCCAGCCATAAAGCAAGGTGGTTGACTTTTGACTGACTTCTCTGCAGTTAGGGATGGGCAATAGGTGCTAGCTTGAACAGTGACCCCCACATCCCATGAACAAGTGAAACAAAAACTGCTATCAGTATTTTGATTTACAGCCTGAAATGTTTTACCAGAGGTACTTGACCTTTCTTTCCCCCCTCCAATCCTGCTATGCATTTTCAGAATCTGTTCCTAGTTACTTGTTCAAGATTTGCATTTGTGGTACAGCTAGAATAGAGTTGTCTGCCTCCTTTTGCATTGTCCAGTCAGGAAAGCAATTCTTGCCATGCAACATAGCAATTTAATATTCATTTGTGGGATGTGGATGTCACTGGCAAGGCCAGTATTTATTTGCCATCTCTAATTATTTTGTGAATGTGGTGTAAGTTACCTCCTTGAACTGCTGCAGTTCAGGATGAAGATGTTTCCATAGTGCTGTAAGTGTGGGAGTTCCAAGATTTTGACCCAGCAACAGTGACAGTGGTAATGCTGCAAAACATAATCATTGTAACCTTAAAGGGCATGAATTCTAATTTGCTCTTCTGGTTGGTAGAGGTTTGAGTTTGTGAACTGCTGTTGAAGAACCCTTGATGAAATGCTTTTGTGAAGCATTTTGACACCAGTAATGAAGGGAGTGAATGGTTAAGATGATGGATTCACTGTGTTCTGCAGGCTGTTTTGTTCTGGGTTTTCTTTTAAACTTCTGTACTGTGTTTAGAGCTGTAGCCAAGCACTAAATACTCCATCACTGTGGCTTATTCCTTGTAGATGATGGGGAAGCTTTAGGGAGACAGATGATGAGTCACTTGCTGCAGATTTTAGTGTGCCAAATGGTTCTGTTGAAGCCAATGAAACTGAGTTTCAGGTGGACTGAACAACACATGACTGATGTGATACCACCTGCGTCTGTTGCCGCCCATTTCCGTTTCACCATTGTAGACTTCAGTACATCTGATGTTGTAATTTGATAGTGATGATTTAAATCCCAGTTTCTGTATTTTTCTTTTACCCACGTACTAAATTAAACAAATCAGACACGAGCTCAATTTTCATAGGGCTGAGTACTGTAATGGGACACTGCCACTAGTGAATTTGAGCTGTTTCTAGGCCTTTGTGACTGACCCTTTGCACCTTTGTATGTGTAAAGTGCCAGTGGTAAGTTATTGAGAACATTTTCCCTCCTACCATATTTTGTAAAACATCCTTCACTTTTCTCGAAGTTGAGTGGGAGGGTGTATGGGTGGGGGTTGGGCGGAGGAAATGTTTTCTGTCTCTCCTTTTTACAATCAGCCAACACCACCCTCCCCACCAAAACAAAATAAATTGGAGGATCTTTCCACATGGGGGTTGAGGAGCACTTTGTTTGCCCACTAATGATATATGCCAAGAATTACTGTTGAGTACTTAGAAGGTTAAACTCTGTATGTTACATGTAATGAAGTACAAAATGTACAGAGATAGTAGGAACTGCCGATGCTGGAGAATCTGAGATAACAAGGTGTAGAGCTGGATGAACACAGCAGGCCAAGCAGCATCAGAGGAGCATGAAAGCTGACATTTCGGGTCGAGACCCTTCTTCAGATTTTCTGAAGAAGGGTCTCGACTCGAAACGTCAGCTTTCCTGCTCTTCTGATGCTGCTTGACCTCCAAGATGTACAGTTTTGTTTTTAGTGTCCAATAGAGCAAATTGGGAATTGAATTATATTAGGAGAAATTTTTTTCGTTCCTTAGGACTGGTAGATCAGTTTTGTTTCACTGTGATCATTACCACTTATTTTTGATCCTACATAACTCATGAGGAGAAAGGAAATTGCTGCATTTGAAATGTAACAATATGTAAGAACAACTTGGAGGCAGTAAGGACTGCAGATTCTGGAAGCCAGAGTCAATAAACATGGAGCTGGAGAAACACAGCGGGTCACACAGTATCAGAGGAGCAGGAAAGTCGACATTTCAGGCTGAAACCCTCCTTCAGGACACGGGAGGGGGAGAAGAGCCCAGAAATAAATAGAGGGAGGGGTGTGGGACTGGGGAAAGGGGAGGTGGGATGATGATAGGTGGTTGCAGGTAAGGGGTTATAGTGATTGGTCAGTGGGAAGTGTGAAGCGGATAGGTGAGTAGAAAGATGGACAGGTTTGGGAGGTGGGACATAGGATAAGGCTGGGGTGGAGCGATTTTAAAAGCTGGTGAGGTCAATATTCAGGCCCTTGGGCTGTAAGCTCCCAAAGCGAAATATCAGGTGTTGTTCCTCTGGTTTATGTTCGGCCTCACTCTGACAGTGCAGTCGGACAAGGATAGACATGTCGCCGTGGGAGGGGGAGTTAAAATGGATGGCAGCCAGAAGGTTGGGTTGGTTGGTACGTGCAGAGCACAGATGCTCCGTGAATCGGTCTCCTAATCTGTGTTTGGTCTCCCCACTATAGAGGAGACTACATCAGATGCAACGGATGCAACAAATTGGGTTGGATGAGGTGTAGGTGAATCCCTGCCAGATCTGGAAGGATTGTTTGAGTCCTTGGATGGAGGTGAGCGGGGAGGTGTGGGGGCAGGGGTTGCACCTCTTAAGGTTGCAAGGAAAGGTACCGGGTGTGGTGGAGAGGTTGGTGGGGAGTGTAGAGCTGACGAGGGAGTTGCGTAGTGAATAGTCCCTTTCACACCTCATCCTGACAGAGTCTTGGCCTGAAACATTGACTTTCCTGCTCCTTTGATGCTGTCTGACCTGCTGTGTTTGTCCACCTCCACGTTTATTGACTGTGAGAACTACTTGGATACTTACCAGCAAAAGCTTCTTTTTAATGCAGTAGAAAGCTGGGGCATAATCCAGTACCCTTCTATCGATTATGAAAGCAATTTTCTGTTGTGCATAGCATGGCTTTCAAAGATCATAGAATCCCTACAATGCAGATAGAGGCCATTTGGCATTGAGTCTGTACTAATCCCCCAAAGAACATCCCACCCTATCTCCATAATCCCACATTTACCATTGTTAACTCACCTAGCCTGCACACCATGGGGTAATTTAGCGTAGCCAATCCACCTAACTTGCACAGCTTTGGACTGTGGGTGGAAACCAGAGGAAACCTGCACAGTCACAGGGAGAACTTGTAAACTCCACACAGTCGCCCAAGGCTGGAATCCAACCAAGTCCTTGGTGCTGAGGCAGCAGTGCTAACCACAATGCCACCATACTGCCCCTACTTTTGGACCCAAACAGTTTATAACACCAGCATTGTAACAATACAGAACTTCGCTTAGAATCTTAAAATACCAGGAGTAAAGTATAAAGATCCAAAATTTGACGACTTCTATTAGTTTTATCTTAAGGTCAATTATTTTGGATGACTTTCTCATTGAAATTAATGTGTAATTGCTGCTTCAGCTTTTTGCAAATTGATCAGAGTTTTAAAGTCAAACTTAAATCATTAGGTGAACATTGTACATTTTCAGCAACTTAAGACACATTGCTAGATTTGAATGCTCAGAAGCCAAGTTTAAAATTCTGTGTATCTTCATTTTTATTGTTTGCAACTTGGCTGGCTGAAAGTTTCAAAGCGTGTTTGGGCAAACGTAATCATCATCAGCTTTTCAGACTCTGAAACATGAGGGATATGTCTTAGTTGAAATTCCTCAAGTGTCCAACAATTCTATGTTGGCTTCAATTTCTTCAAATTTTACTAAATTCCCCTGTTGTTTAGCAGCCATATGGCAATAGCCGTTTGAGTCATAACTCCCCTCCCAGCTTGCAGTGATACGCTTGCAGCAATGCATGGGAACACCACCTGCAAGTTCCTCTGTAAGCCACTCCTCCTTACTTGGAAACATATCACCCATTCCATCACAGTCAATGGGTCAAAATCCTGGAATTCCGCCCCCAGAGGCATTGAGAGTCTACTTACGGCACATGGACTGCAGCGGTTCAAGAAGGCAGCTGGATACCTTCATAAGGGCAACTAGGGACAGGCAATAAATGCTGCCCAACCAGTGATGCATGTCTCACAAGTGAATTTTTAAAATTCGTTGCATCCAACAAACTTATAAACTTGATATAGAATTCCATCCTGACGACTTAGAGTGAATCCTTTTGA